CCCTGATAGCTCTCCATCTCACCCCTCCCTCCTAGTTACCGCTGGACTGCGTCTATTAGGTAGCTGTCCCGTATGAACGATTGCGAAATGAGCTGACGAAGTGTACTGCTTTCGAGACCCAAACAAATAATTAGAACTCTAATAGGTGCGTATAATTCCCAATGGAAGGCTGCATCATTACAGTACTTGTAGTTTTTGATGCATTTATGCATTAGTTTAAATGAATTTATTTCTCCACGCAGTTGAGATGCATTTTGTGATTTATTCTACTACTTGGCTTTTTAGGTGCATTTTTATTAGTAAAATTCATTTTAATTATAAACATAAAGTTACATTTGTTTTTCGATGGACTTTTTGAAATGTTAGGATTAAGAGTATTCAAATGCATGAAATTTTAATGTATTTCGTAAATAGGTGCAATATATTTCATTTTACTCAGAGTGCATTTTTAACATCAAAAGCATGTAGGTCTGCAAAACAGAAGGTGCCACAAAGCAGTTCAGACAGATGTTTACGTGGAAGAAGAGAGCCCTATGGAAACATATGATATGGAGTTTATCAGATTGCAGCAAATACTCAATTTCGTCCTTCATAGGGGTAAGCTAATATTGAGGAAGAAGAATGGGAGGGAACCAACGCAATTCATGAAATAGCAGAAATTCCTGATGAACGCCTGTGGGAGGACGGAAGTGTTAATACAACACGAGAAAACAGAATGTAAGGAGCTATTAAAAAAAGGGCAAAGAGCAGGATGGAGAAAGAAGTAAAGAATGAGGAGACACCTGCAGTGAATGATGGTAGGCTTGATGAGAAAGCAAATAGGAGGAACGTTTTGCTCTTCATATTCAAGGTCGGTAGTGGCAATTTATTCTCTCATCGTGCATTGGCTGCATTCTGCACCGACGCCTATCGAACCGTCATCTTGGTTCAGAAGAAAGGCCAACCAGGATCGCTTGCTCTATGGTGTTCTGCAAAGTAGGTAGAGTTTGACAAGTAGAGGTGGTGTCTCGAAGGTGTCAGGTAGTATGCTTTTTGGTTAAGCACATGGTTAGGCCCCAATGTCCTCCATGCTTCGCTTCGTACACGGTGTTAATTGCAAAGCCACATCCACATATCGCTCCCCAACTTACGGCCAGTATGACTATACTAGCTGTGCGTGCATTCTTCCCCACAAACCATCAATTGTGTCCTAACCGATTATCACGGACGTAGACGTCAATGTAACGACTGTGAGTCAGTCA